AGTGAGGATTAAGGTGTAGAGATAATAGATGGATGGATGGATGAAGCAAAACCAGCTCTTTTTAGCTGCTGGGAGGCAGATTTTATCTCTTTCTGCATTTCCAGCACCTTTGAAAGCACACAGGAAAGCAGATACCTGCGTATCGTACGCTGATTAACTTCCTGTAATGTCGAGCCATTCAGCAAGTCCACAGATCCAGTATCGAAGCGAAACTTTTTTCCACAATATGATATCATTTAAGCCTTCAAAACTGTAACACCGCCTTCACACGGTGACTCACCGCTGCTTGGGATGACTACTTTGGCCCTGCGTGTTTTAACATATGTGCAGGCTCACAGGCCTACAAGCTCTGCTCCGCATCGACTGGTTGCAGCGGCGATGACTAAGTCAGGAGTAGCAGGAAACTGGCCTCTCAGCATTATTGTTAGCAGTGTCAACACCTTCCCTTCTCCTTACTTGCAGGTTGGCATTTCGCTCTGCTTGTGTAAAGCTCCTTTGTCTGAGCGAGTGTCCCTCCTGTCTTCACCTGTGAAACCTTCGTGAGACTGCTGCTGCTGTGCTGCTCATATCGGCACGTCTCTGAGTTACATAATGCAGTCGGAGTTGTACAACTTTTTTTTTTTCTTCTTCCAACTTGTCACACTGGCGAACAAATTTCCCAAACTTTTCTCGGCACAGAATTCCTGCGTCACCGCGCTTGAGACGTGTCGAAAATATAAGTGACGAGCCTATATTTTGGGAGAGGGAGGAAAACGTGGCGGCCAAAGCATACATCTAGGTTTTAAATTTACGCCCGGCCTGCCAATCGGAGGGAAGTCGAGTGTGGAATTGGAACTGGCAGTGAATTCAAACCCACACTGTCACAGCGTAAAGGAGGAGTGCTGCGGGCTCTCTCTCATCCTGCCGCCTCTCACAGTCAAGTCCTGCACTTGTTAAATCTTCTGACAAGAGGTATTATCTTCAAAGCGCAGATCTGCAGACTTGAGATCTTGTCTCAGCCACGGTAAACATGACGGATCCCGCCCCCCTACCCCCTCGCCGAAAATTGAGATTTTTAGATGATTCATCGGCCATCTTTGAAAAGAAGATGATCAATAATGACAATGATGGGAGTCCTCCACTTGGAGTAAGATTTAGCCAGAGGTGCAGCCTCTCTGCTGCCTGCGGGAGAAATGAGAATGATTTTTTTTTTGATGATGATTTAAATGAGCTGAGGAAGCGTCTATAAAACAAGATAATTAAATTATTAGTATGAAACAACTCAACTTTATTAGCCAGTAATTCATGTAATGGAATAGCTGTCATTTATGTAGAGAAAATGGTAAATATTTCAGCCTCTTAAATGTGCAGCTACACTATTTTATATCTTAATAATGTTCATATTTTGGGGGGTTAACAGGACAAAAGACGTTGGAATACATCCTGTTGGATTCTAGGAAACCATGATGGTTAAATCTTTACTATTTTTAAACCCTTTAATGAGAGATTTGAAATAAATGAATCTCTTGCTGCTACATGCAGAATAAGCAAAGACTCATTTTTATGATTATCATAGTCTCCAATCTTAAAAATATCTTCTGTAACTCATCAGGGTTTTGCGATGGAAGCATGATGAGATCACCAAAGGATGGTGGGTTTTACCTGGACTGACCCTCAGTAATGTTTTAAAAAATATAAAATATTATTCAGTCCCTAGCATGTTGTGTCTGTGTGGTGCTGGTCAACCTGTTCACAGAGGAGCTGTAGTCATTCAAGGTGATATAACCTGAAGCCCAGAGGTGTCAAAACCCTCGTCGCACGGATCTGCATGGACGTAATGCACTCCTCAAGTGAAGCTTCTTTCAGGTGGATTTGTAGATGACATTCTGAAAACAGCATCTGTATTTATCAGAAGCCATTTCCCTGCACATGTGTCTAATGTGGCATGGTGCTCAGTGGGACTGTTTGTGTGGTTTTGTTCTGACTAATACCACCATTAGCAACAAATCTCAATTCCCAATCAAAAACATCTCACTGTTAAACCAGATTTATATTCAAATATTCATGAACATGACTATCTTCTCTTCTCACCCATGCACATTGTTATCCGTCCGTATTACTCAGTCCCCTCCAAGCTATATTTTTAGAGGGGTGGTTTTGTTTTTTTTTGTTTTCTTTCCACACACATTGTGCTCTGTGGAGCTGGCATTTAATTATGAAAAGAATAATTAAACTCATGTCTACAATAAAAGAAGCTGCACTTGTACCCGAGATCAACCGGTGGTTCTGTGCTGATAAGGCTTCTGAACCGACAGAAGCGAGCTTGCATGACAGCGCTGGAGCGTGCCTGCTCACCAAAGGGCCCATCACATGTGGAACATGCAGTGCTGGAAGTGCATCCACCATAGCCTAAGTCTCTCTCTGGGCCAAGATGGAGCTGCGTTTCAGCGAAATAACACCCGGCAGCTGGCAGGGTTGTCTGTCCTTTCCCCTGCAGCCGCTTTCTCTTTGCATCAAGAGCAAATATCAACCCCTGTGCTCCACACACACCATTACAGGAGGGGGTTTTTAACAGGCCTCGCTTTCACAAGGCGAGTCGCCCCTCTTTGTTTCCCCCTCGCCTTTAAGTCTCTTCACCTTTTGCCACTGAGGAGGGAAGAAGGAGGACACAGTGTGGCCTGCATAGTGTCCCATCTCCTCAGTCCTTGTGTGTGTGTGTGTGTGTGTGTGTGTGTGTGTGTGTGTGTGTTGCAGCAACAATAACTCTTTCCGCCCACACGCTCTGACTCTCCCCCCTTCCTCTCCCCATCCTTATTGCAACCACAACCATCACCTCACCCTGCTCCAGCGCCTTCAGTGGCTCACGTGCCGCAGCACACACTCGGATGAGTCCCACGCTTCAGAGGAAAAAAAAAAAAATTCTCCACGCTGAAGTCCAGAGGGGCAGCAGAGTGTGGGGGCGTTATCCAGCTTCCATGGGAGGAGGAGGGAGGAGGAGGTGGAGGAGGAGGGGGCAGAGAGAGAGAGAGAGAGGAGGGAAGATGTTGCTCCTTATCAATTTGACGAAGCAGACGTAATGAGCAAAAGGAGGAGATGCTGCTGGGATGCGAGGATGGTTTAAAGGGATGAGACCACCTAAACATGAGTCAGTTTGAGTCCAAAAATAAGGTTTGATTACATGAGCTGGAGTGGAAGAGAAAAAAAAAGAAGCTGGAAATTCATGCTTCATTCTGGCTATTGTGTGTGCTCTTCTGTGGCAGTTCTCTTTATCCAAATATGATTTTCTTAAAGGAGAGATTAAAGAAAAGTAAAGAAAAATACCTTAATGCATCAGACAATTCTGGCATTATTTAATATGCATGAAGTCCATAATGAATTAATTGTAAAAAACAAAAAGAAAACAGTGTGTCTGGTTGAACAATATACATTTATACACAACAGATGTTAAATGTGTTCCTCAGCAATGATTAAGTTTGAGTTATTTGACAGGAAGCGGGACTGTGGGGAATCAGTGCAATCTTCCTTTTTTTTTTTTCTTCTGTCTTCCAAGAATCCCAGTTTAACTCTTGTTCTGTGTCTTTTACTGTTTCCTCAGAGGAGACGGGGGAGAGATCAAGTAGCCCACACACTGTGCGGTGTGTGCGGAGGGGTGATGCCTCGAGAGCGCATCACAGGACGACAAAACCCCTCTGCAAGACGCAGCGCCAGGATAGAGCAGCTTTGGCTTGAGAGCTTGTTTCGTGTAGTTTAGAAGGAGAAAAAAAAGCTGGAGGAGCTCGTTCCAGCGAATTCTTCCCCCTCTAACCTTTAAAAACATACTTCTTGTTATCATGCCGGAATCCTGCTGATCCACCTTCGCCGTGCAGTGACAATGTAGTGGAGCGGAGAAGAGGGGGATCTCCGCCGGCTGGAGAGATCTGGGGATGCGCGGACACGGTTATGGGTGATTTGATGCCATTTTTCCGACTAAACAAAGCTGGATATGCGCACAAAAAGTGAGGAGAAGTGAGTTTCGGGGGTGCGCGCAGGATGGACACTGCGGAGGTAATTCTCTCTGTGCTGGTGGTTGTGATTATCATAGTGTCGTTGCTGTCCAACATCCTGGTGCTGATCTGCTTTCTGTACAACCCGGAGATCCGCAAGCAGGTGCCCGGTCTGTTCAACCTCAACCTCACCTTCTGCAACTTGTTGCTGACCGTGTCCAACATGCCGCTCACTTTGGTGGGACTCATCAGCAAGGCTCAGCCGGGGGGAGACGGCTTCTGTCAGATCGTGGGCTTCCTGGAGACCTTCCTGTCCACCAACTCGATGCTGAGCATGGCAGCTCTGAGCATCGACAGGTGGATCGCGGTGGTGTTCCCCCTGAGGTACCACTCCAAAATGCGCCACAAGGACGCGGCTTTTGTGCTCGGGTACACGTGGGCGCACTCCATGTCCTTCTCCACGGTGGCCACCTGCCTCTCCTGGGTGGGATACCACCGGCTTTACGCGTCCTGCACCCTGTCCAACCCGAGGGCGAGCAGTCGGACCCAGTTTGTTATCTTCACCGTGTTTTTCCACTCCTTCACCTTCCTGCTGTCTTTTATAGTGTTGTGTGTTACATACCTCAAAGTCCTTAAAGTGGCAAGGTTTCACTGTAAGAGGATCGACGTTATCACAATGCAAACTTTGGTGCTGCTGGTGGATATACACCCCAGGTGAGCTGTTTTCAAGCTTTTATTCCATTTTGTGTTCCTACTTTACATCATACATCCTGACTATCTGACTTATAGAATCACATTTGAGAAGCAATTTTCAAATTATTACCCAGAAGTGAGGATTCAGGAAAAAGAACAAACTGTTCAAATCAGCACTTCCTTGGAGCAGTTGTTGTACTTGGTGCCATCACTCCTGTTCACATTGATTGTAAGGCTGTAAACGACACTGTGGTGTTCCTGTGCTCGGAGCAGAACAGTGCACTTAATGATGCTTTGCCATCTTTGCATTGACATTTGAATTGTGGCTTCAGAGGGGCTGCTGAATCTAATTCTTTTGAAATGTCACGCACAGAGATTGATTTACTCTGCCTCCATATAGTATAGCTAAAATGGATGTAGAGTGTGTGTGTGTGTGTGTGTGTGTGTGTGTGAGAGAGAGTGAGAGAGAGAGTGTGTGTAGAAGATCAATCAGTGTGCGCCTGGTCACACAGCCGGCTGTAGATCACAGCTGAGGTGCTGCTGTTCTAAATCCTGCCTGTCTTTATTGACACTGATGACCCCCATTTCATGAAATATTACTTAAAGCAAGTGTGTCATGACAGCCGTGGTGCATTCAGGTACACACACACACACACACACACACACACAGGGAGAAAGTGTAAGTCTAAAAGTGGGAATCCTCACTTTGTCTTTACTTATTGTACCTCGGCTCAGCCTCTGCTGGCTCCTCCTGCCTTTAACCCCTTCACACCTCAGATGAGCACAGCTACGCCTCCTCCCTGCCGTGTTTTACGAGACACTTTGTGGTAATGTCGCCCACTAATTTAAACTGCCGGCTTTACTGTCATTGCCTCCAGCGTTCGTCAGCGTTGCCTGGAGGAGCAGAAGAGGCGAAGGCAGAGAGCGACGAGGAAGATCAGCACCTTCATCGGCACCTTCATGCTCTGCTTCGCTCCCTACGTGATCACGAGGTGAGTGCCGGGGAGGCCACGCCGGCGTGCACGGTGACCTCCCGCCAGCCACCCACGTACCTCCCCTCTCCTCTCCCCCACTTCTTCCCCCCTTGCCTCCTCGCCGCTTCCCCTCGACACTGGCCAGAGTTGGAAGATGAGATTGGCTGACCTTGTGATAAGTAATATGCCTCTGCTCTGCTGTTGCTGCTGCTGCTGCATTAGCACTTTTCTCCCTCAAGTTCGCCGAGTGCATCTCGGTTTGTTTGAATCCCGTCTCATCAATCACCGGACAAAGAGAGGGTGTCAAATGAGGCCCGGAGCGAGAAGGACGCACGGCGATGAGAGAAGCTGAAAAATTATTTTAAAAAAAGGGTACAAGAATGTGAAATAATACAGTGTTTAGGGAGAGAAAGGGAACCCAGGATAGAGTTTTTGGGAAGAAGATGCTGTTGAGATTCCGTTCACCTCCTTCGTACGCTGGTGGGAGCAGAAATCGAAGAGACGGGCAGGCCCATCTGGAGACCTAGACACAATAAAACCAACATTATCTGCGTGGCTGCATGCCAATAAGTGCTTCAGACTCATACTACATACCACGTGAAAGGCAAGAAAATAAAGTCCACTTAAAACAGCCAGCGTACAAACTAAAAATACTCCGAAATGCTCTGTTGATTGGCACTGACCTCCTGTGACGCTGAGCCGCACATGAAACCGAGAAGCTGCTCACAGGTTTGTGTTGAAGCAGGTCCAGAAACACCTCAGAAAACAAAACAATAATTTGGGAAAAAAAAACATCCTCCTGCCTGTTTTTAATTGGCAGTTGCCTTGTACGACTTGATTGGCATCCGAGATCACAAGTATTGTGTAATAAATAGGCTCATTTCCAATCCTACTGTCAAGATTAGTACAGAATATATAGTATACAGTTAGAATGTGGTTCCCCTTTTGTCATTTCAAACATAATTTGACCAAAATATTCGTAGCTTTAAAACTTATGTGTGATTTAATCGTGCTAATAAAAGGCTGGGGTGAGTTAGATGAAGATTTTGTTGACTGACTTTGGCCTAAAAACATCTGAAATTGTGAGACTTTTTGAAACGAGGTGACATAAATAATGCACCAGAGGCTCTGACAGCGAGCTTTCCACACTCGGACGACGGGCGCCGGCAATTTGTTGTGTTATCAGTAAACTGTCAGTAATGAATGACCATTACGGGGCCCACTCGCGCCGCTCTCATCCCGCAAATGGCAGCGTACTAATTAAAAATCTGAATATATTACGCTAAAAGCCCCTCCGCAGCCTCTCTGATGCTCATTTGATGTCCGAGCGTGTGCAGTCGGAGCCGTGTGGCAGCTGACTTAACCTCCTGTTCGCTGTTTCTGTGGAGTGTGTGAGCAAATGTCACTGATGGCTACCGGCCCATGCGAGGCCGGCGTTAATGTGCTGACAGAGCTCAACTGTGGACGCACTAATCATACAGAGTGCAAGAGGAGAGGATCAGCAATCTTTACGCACCTTTTATGACACCACGTACAACAGGAGTATTTTTTATTTCTTTTTTTTTTTTTTACACCTGACAAAAATTAGCGTGAAAGTAAACAAGATATTTAAAGTAAGTAACTACCAATGTTATGTCTTTAGGTCTGACATCAGCTGAGTTGAGATGCAGACTGTAATGCTCATTAGGTGCACCTTTAAATCAAATAAATAGCATTTTAAGTACAAATTAGCATTTTTTCCCCCCCCTAAGATTGCTGGATGACTTCTCTGTTTGTCCTTCCCTGCCTTGGCTCTGTTCTAGTTGTAAATAACAATCAAAGTTATTTTTCTTGTTTCCGGAAACTCGTTGCTGCTCCTGCTTTTGCCTTTTTCCCAACATGAAGCGCTGCTGCAGCCTCACACTTTACATCCACACGCATGAGAGAACGAGGTCGAGACTCTTCGTGTAGTTCCCTTTGACAGCTGATCTGCATTTTATCTCGTGCACGGCTGCAAACCGTGTGTGAATAATTACTTAATGAGATGAATCTATCAATACAAAAATAAACTGAAGCTGCATCAGTGAAGAAGCACGCTACTTGCAATGAAGGAAAAAAAAAAAAGGAGGTTATGGGCAACAGAGTCTTGCAAATGTATTTCTATTTCTGCATAATAAGCTTAGGGCATGCATGTCTTTTCCAGCATGTTGACTTGCCTTTCCGCCACTCTCCCGCTCACCACCCCTCTCTTTATGCGTGCCTGCAGGATCGTGGAGTTATTTCCAGCGGTGCCTATCAACCCTCACTGGGGAATTGTCTCCAAGTGCTTGGCTTACAGCAAGGCAGCCTGCGACCCCTTCGTGTACTCCCTGCTACGGCACCAGTACAAGAAGACGTGCACCGACATCATCAACAGGCTGCTGAAGCGCAGCTCCCTGAACGCGTCGGGCCGCGGGCAGCAGAACCAGGTCAACAGCATACCGACCGAGTGACGGGGAGAGAGCGGGCTGATGGGATACGGTCTGAGAGGTTGACCCGGCAACCCGTCAGGGAAATGTGAACCCGATTTATCGTCGATGAGGACAAATATTGGTTGTTCCTGTTCACGTCTGCTTGAATTTGGTCTGACATGCTGAAAAAAAAAAAAAGAAAAAACATAAAAAAAACAAGGAGTCACTGCACACAAGGGCAAATCCCTGCACAGGAGTACCACCGCGCTTGTGCACCGAGTGCCCAGAACAGCAGATCAGTGCGGTGAACTTGCTGCGAGGACAATAAACAACTGCAGATTTCACATCCACCTGGAGAGACAGATGTGCTCGCCCAGGAAGAACAGCCAGTTCCTAGCCTCATTATTCCAACTAGGGTAGCTTTCAGTCCGCTACGACGTACAGCTCACCACGTATTGATTTTGCAGTTTGTTTTTCCCGCATTACACTGTATATTCATCTTCTCATTAACAACACGATGGGATGTCTGTTTTAGTCTGTGCAAAGTGTTTGCAAGTGACTAGTTGATAATTCTGTATGTAGCACTGAAAACTAGCCGAACCAAAACTTGAGACGCCACTTTTCCCCTAATTGTACTACAGATGGAATCACAGCGACGAGTGCTGCTGCCGTCCGGCTCAGGTGTTTTCAGGCCAAATTAAGCAACATCTTCATTTTATTTAGTGCTTTATTTTTTTTGTAGTATTCAGAAGGAAACAGCAACATAACGTATTTTTGCTCTCAACACCCATTTGGACGGAGTTTTAATAGGACAAACCGAGCCTTCAAACCGGCTGCCTTTTGCTGTCACGACTGATTGTGCCCCTCAGGTTGCTCGGTCAAGTGGAGCGTGATCAACTGTACTTCCCTGGGTTTTGTACCCACACACATGAGTGACCCGTAGAGCAGATATATATATGATGTCTTTTTTTTTTTTTTCTTTAGCAGAATGATTTAACAGCCGTGACAGCCATCCGTGCAAAAGGTACAAGCGGATCTTAGGACAAAGCGTCTCTGGAGGCGTTTTTGCTCGAGAAACTGGAGAAAAAGTGTCTGATTTGTTTTCTATACGTCCAATTCGTGTTGCATGTGTAATGGTGATAGCTGAGAACACCTAAGTCTAGAATCATCGGGACATTCAGCAGGTTTGCCATTAGCTGTAGACTAGCATGACTGCTATTAAAGTCAGCTAGGCAACGACTCTAGATTTCCTCGTGATGGCTAGATTGCAAAATTTAATTGCAAACACTAAATTGCATAGCGTAACATCATCAAAAGGTTTCTACCTCGGAGGTGACTTGCGTGCTTTCTCGTGAAGGCCCGTCTCGAGCTGAACTAAGCAATAGGTTATGTTGAAAACCCTCCTGAAGGAATCACAAAACACAGGCGAGAACATTTCAGATCGTTGTTACCTGATTGTGTAACACCTGAAATGATGCAATAGCTGTAACCTTTATTACACACAACCTGCGAGTCTCCCACAATGCTGCACCGACAGCTGGAGGGCAAAAGCCTGTGAAACAAGAGTAAACTCTCCTCACTATCAAACTTATTTCCTTTTTTTTTTCTTGGTAAAAACATGATATTGAAGAAAATCTAACAAGGTCCTTTCTTGATAAATTGGTTTGGTGCATAAAAATCTCAGGAAACACCCAAAGATATTCAGTTTGTTATCAAACAAAGTAAAAAAGTCTTGAACCGGTGAATTTTTTCACTTAAAATAGTTGCAGTTTAATTTTCTGTCAACCAACCTTTCCATGAATTGACTCATTGTTTCTGCTATTTTCTCCGGTAAGTTTGATACTAGCTACAGAAAATTACGACGTTCTAGAGATTGTGTATTTAATCAGTTTAATTCCCCTCATATGAGCATAGACACCATATGAACCGGTAGCTTGGTTATAGGTCAGGATGACTAATCCTTCATAGTAGGAACACGCAGATGCTTCTTGTCGTTACATCCGTCTCCCGTTTTAATTAATTGCTTTCAGGACAGATTTGCTTACAAGAAATGTTTGTACAGCTAAATCTCCATTTTCATAGTGAAATGTTTCCATGGGAACAAAAAAAATGACCCCAACAGCGTTTGTAGGAAAGCTGCTCGGCAACCATTAATTAACATCTTTAACGAGACAAAAAGGACCTTTTTCACTCTCACAATTAACACACGTTCCGTACGTTTGTCTCGTCCCGTCGTTCCTGCGGTAGCCTCCAGCCCATTGCTGTGCCCATTACGTTGTTTATTTCTGTATCAGAAGACAGGCAGCTTTGTATCAGAGGGTTTCGACTGGGCTCCACTTGTTATAGAGTCTGATGTAGACAGAAGCGCTTCAGCTCCTTAGTTCAGAGAGCAACGTGCTGCTGAGGTTTATTTATGGATTTACGCTGACATTCTGGGTGCGTTTCTACTGAACACGCACGGTGAGACGGAGCAGTGCCAAAACCATCGACGATGCCCAGTGAGCCACATATTAGCAGCTGCAGTTCATTTTCTAAAAAACAAAAAAACAATCTAAAAGAACATACATGACAGGTGTTTATGTGATTACAAAATGATCCACGTTTGCTTTCTTTTGTACCCGTGACTTTAAGGTTTTCACACAGAGGAGAAATGGTTGTCTTGGATATCGTTGTACTGTATTACACTCCCGAGACAACCGCTGCCTTAAATTTCAAAGTTTTTACCTTCACAAAGGCAAACGGATATCTTCGATCGTTGCCTTATTCAGTTTTTTTGTTCACTAGCATCGCTCAGAATTTCCTCGGTTCTGATTTGAGTTCCGGCTGATGCACACCGTGTTCTTCTCATAACTGTGGTGACGAACATTAAATGTTGACAGATTTAGATAAACGACGACGTGAAAAGTATTTTTGGCTCTTTTGATATATATATATAAACATATATATACACACGTGTAATTTACGACACTGTACCTGTTAGAGTTTTACAGAATGTGCTGCTTTCTAATGCAAAACTACGTTTTAACTGTTTGCAGGCAGGTGGCAGTGAGCTGAGTGTAATATACCTCATTTTGTTTGCTGGTGACTGACTTGACTGCCTGAAGTGTTTTGTAATGTACCTTCTAATTTATTAAACCTTGGCTCGATGCTGCTGCCGCCGCCGCCGCCGCCGCCGCTGCTGCTGCTAAAGATGGCTGAGATGACAAACTGATGATGATGGTGGTGGTGTTGATGTGATGACAGGTGGCGATGACGGCTGTTTCCATCTGCTAGCAACAATGTTCGGTTTCGATGGTGATTGTAATTGTTATGTTGGTGAAAATGAGGACGATGACGGTTTTTAGGTTTTGACCATGATGATTAAAGTAAACTGTAGACTCTCCATCGACGTGGTCTGGTGCTGTTGTTTCAAAAAGTCAAAACTTTTCCGTTCCATTTGCATTTCTAGCTCCTCTCTTGGAAGATAAATGGGGAAGAAGATCATTTCAATCCCTTGTAGCTGAGTCTTAGTTCCAATAGTTCATGGACAAAAAGTTGTTTTTCTGAAGAGAGATGAAAAGTTGGAGTTGTGGAAACTGGAGAAAATGTCTCGCAACTGTGGTCTGACTGCCACGGGGGTTTGCTTTTCGCTGGTTTGGCTGATTGCAATGGATGCAATCAGTGCAATCAGTGCCATAATCAGGTCTTCGATCTGTTTTGGCCATTTTGCATCATCAGTGTGATGCAGTAAAAGGAAAAAAACAACAACAAAAAAACAGGACAGTTTGGACCAGAGTTACATGACTTTCGTGTATCTGCTGGAAATTCGGGAGAGTTTTCAGCCGCAATCAGTCCAAATCTGACGGAAAACGATTTCTCTGTTCGCACCACAATGCAGGTGGTAATGAAACAACATCAACAGCTCGCCGAGACGGCCTCGGCTGTAAATGGCTGAGATTCCTTACACTGATTACCACCCCGGGAGCCGGTGATTATCTTCAGGTGGGTGGCAATGACCGGTATAATCATGGCTGCTTTCAACCCACTCGGTCAACTGACCCCCTCCGAGTTAGAAATAAACCACAACTCAGAGTGAAAAGCAGACACCTCGGTCTTTAAAAGCAATGTTTGTCGTCTTTCACCCGGGGACAGAAATCAGAAGAGGACAACTTCAGAGTCTTTGTTTAATGCACTGGAACAGCATGTCTGAAAAATCTGTCTAAACTTAACATCTCCTGCTTTCAAGTGATGTAATCCAGCGGTGAAGGTTAAATTCCTTTTTAAATGTGTGAATGTAACACGTTTATTCGGTATCGCTGGTGTAAAACAAAGTCGACGATTAGCATCCCTTCTGACAGGTACTTGGAGAGCTTCACTCCAACAGAAATAGAGAGTGTGAAGAGCCGAAGAATTAACGTTTGTTTGTCGGATATTTTTCTGCTGAAAGACTTCAAATGGCCCTTTGCCTCCAACAAAGCGGTCTTCTTGTTTAGGAATGCTGCTCTGTGCTTCATCCAAACCCAGAAAAACCTCAACATCCTGGATGACAGCGCAGGTGAATTTGTATCAATTATGCCGGAGCTTTCCGCCTGACAATCTGCTTCCTATATGAATAAACAAAAAGCATGTGGTGCGTATTATTCCACTTACCGCCACCATATGCTTTCTCTTTGACTGTGTACTACTAAACGTGTCGTGCACATTGTCATTGCGCTATCGTCGTTGCTGCACTTCCACTGAGGAGATTTATGAGTTTGGCTTTGTTTGGATCTTCCGAACAAAACTGCATATTGTCTCAAAGCTTAAGTTGTAGCTCCTCACATATCCATGACCCGCAAGTGTTTCAAATAGTTCGGCTGGCCAGACCTCTTTGTTGGACTTCGCGGTTTGCTTCCCATCCAAGAGTTTCAAAATTGCTCTGCTCCTACTCAGCCTGAGCAAAATTTAATTGAAGATAACTCCAGTCATGTCTCAAGGTGATACAGCCCTGCACATCGGCCAGGTTTAAGTTTATGTCTGTGTCTTTTCAGGCTCATAATAGGAGTAGGGAATGTCTAAATTCATTAAGAGAAACAAAAAACTGTCAAATTTCTCGTATGTCTGAAGCTCTTCAGATTTAGGTAAACGTATGATGGACGACACCCATGTGGACATTTACATGTTGTTTTATTGCTCATGTCATGATGTCACCATGGGAGTTAGTGAAGTTTGCTGAATTCGTTGCCATGATTTTATCCTGAACTCAAGCAGAAGATAAGTTATCAAACCAATTTCATTAAGTTACCTCAACATGAAGTTAGTTTTAAATCAACAAACACAAATTACACACAACATTGAGTTAGCACCGTCGCAGCTAGAAGGTCGCCGGTTGGCGTCCCGGTGAGGACACCCGGGATCTTTCTGCATGGAGTCTCCATGTTCTCCCCGTGCAGCGTGGGTTCTCTCCGGGTTCTCCGGCTTCCTCCCACAGTCCAGAAACATGTTGAGGTTAATTGGTGATTGTAAATTGTCCGTAGGTGTGAATGTGAGTGTGCTTGGTTGTCTGTCTCTAAGTGTAGCCCTGTGATAGACTGGTTACCTGTCCAGGTGAACCTGCCGTCACCCTGAGTCAGCTGGGATAGACTCCAGCCCCCCATGACCCTGGTGAGGATTAAGGTGTAGAGATGATGGATGGACAACGTTGAGTTGATGCAATTACCAACATTATAATGTCAACCCAACCCATCAAAAGAAAGTTTGCAAATTGAAAGGTTTATGTAAATTAATACATTTGATCTTTTTGTTTTTTATTATCTTGCAACCTTGCACTTAATTATATGTTACTGGAGAGAAGCTACAAACATGGATGCTCCTTATACCTCTTTACCTGGCAACAGAGAGGATCTATACGATTACTACGGTTTTAAGATGAGCACCAAAGATTAGTATCACCAATGTAGTCACTCAGCAAATGTAAATGATGATCCTTATGTTCCTGAGTTATGGTCAGAAAAGGGTTTTTTTTGCAGAAAAAAGCAAAAGTGCAAATGACCTTTGACCCTTTGGAGGTAAAATGCCATAACTTCCTCGTTATTTCATAATTGTTGCAGGGATTCTTGAGTTATGACCAAATAATGTGTTTTGAGAGGTCACCATGACCAAATTCTAATCAGCTCATCCTTGGCTGCATGTTAACGTTTGTACCACATTTGAAGAAATTCCCTCACAGTGTCTCTGAGTCATCATGGATGGGAGGATGGATGGATGGATGGACCGATGGATGGACGGACGGATGGACGGATGGATGGATGAACAACTCCAAAACATAAAGCTTCCAGCCATGGCGGTCACCAGTGCAGAGGCCCAACAACTCAAAACAAGTGTGTTCAGAGTATTTAAGGAGTTAACATTTAGGATCCAGAACGGTGTAGGTTCCATTGTTATGGAAAAGTCCAGCAATCCAGCTTCAACATGTCTGTTTTCCTTTTCACAAAGACTGTGATATTGTTGGTGGCAGAAATTCTCTGTATTTATGACTCAGAGTTACCGGAGACTGACGAGAAGGATTTTTCCCACTTGAAGGCTTAAGAGCAGCGAAGTGAGGACTGATACTGAAATATCGATGCTTCTGATCCCAACGTTTATGTCATCAGCTCTAAGATGAAAGGATCAATATG